CACATGTAATTTGAAGAGAAGAGTATGATAGATTTTCTTTGATCTTATCTACAGATGTCTCTTTAGTTAAATTTAGAAGACAAGCCAGGCTTGGTAGCACATACCTATAACAGCACATTCGGGAACAGAGGCAGGATTCTGAGCTTGAAATCAACATCATTAAGACCTTGTATCAGAAACAAACCAACCCTCCCCCCCCCCCCCTCCCCCCCTTTGTTTGTCAAGACAGGGTTCCTCTGTGTAGCCCTGGCTGTCCTGGAACTCACTCTGTAGACTAGGCTAGCCTCGAATTCACAGAGACCCTGCCTCCCAAGTGCTGGGATTGAAGTTGTGCACCACTACCGACTGGCCAGACTGAACCTATTAAAGACATTTAAAAATTCAGAGAGGAGGATTATGGTCTCAAAACAAAATCAGGGGCTGGAGAGATGGCTCAGAGGTTAAGAGCACTGACTGCTCTTCCAGAGGTCCTGAGTTCAATTCCCAGCAACCACATGGTGGCTTTCAACCATCTGAAATGAGATCTGGTGCCCTCTTCTGGCCCGCAGAATACATGCTGTATATATAATAAGTAAGTAAGTAAGTAAGTAAGTAAGTAAGTAAGTAAGTAAATAAATAAATAAATAAATAAATAAATAAATAAATAAATCTTAAAATAAAAAAAATCAAACACAATAAAGAAGTTACTGGCAGAGTCAACACTAGAATATGGAAAGAATCTGGGGATCTAATATTACTCAAAACACAATACATAAACACGTACAGTTATTTCCATGCACACTATCCAATGGTCAGGCCCTATTATCTTCCCAAATCCCTTGACTCCATTCTGTATCTAACAGATTCTGACCCAACACATACATCCTTTGCCTCTCTTGAATCCTTTATTTTCCTAAAGCTTAAATTATAAAGTTGCTGATGAGTAGCAATAACGTGGTGTGCCCTTTCCTTATCTGTATGCCCATAGAAGCCATTGTCTTAACTCCAAAAGATGTATTTTTAAAATAAGAAATAATGTCAGGCGTGGTGGCACACACCTTTAATCCTAACACTCAAGTGGCAGAGGCATGCCAATCTCTGTGAGTTTGAGTCCAGCCTGGTCTCATAGTGAGCTCCAGGGCACCTCCAGCTATATAGGGAGACCCTATCTCAAAATAAATATATAAATAAATAAAAAACAAAACAAAACAACAACCACAGTCCAGTGGGCTGAGGTACTGTTTTCCAGACACTGTAATGTTGAGTTTGTTGAACACTGCTGTCCTAGTGGGATTGGCTGTGTAGGATATTCCACACAAGAAGCTAACAATACTGCACACAAAGATTCTTAATGTTCTTAAGCAGTTCCCTAAAAATGCAGCTTATGGAAAACACACAAAATAGCAATGATAAGTTGGGTACAGTCAAAGTAGAATCAGATGTTAAAAAATTGTAAGACATACTTCAAGGTGGTCAAGCAGAAGAAGTGATGCTTCAGGCCAAAAATGAACTAAGTCTGACAAAAAAACAAAACAAAACAAAACAAAAAACCAAAAATGGTGAAGTGGAAGAGATGCCTGCTAACCAGTGGGAACTGTCAAATTGATCATTGATCTAATGTCTGATAGTTGATGGGAAACTGGTGTAATGAAATGCTACATTAAAAAAATAAAAATAGAGCCGGGCGGTGGTGGCGCACGCCTTTAATCCCAGCACTCGGGAGGCAGAGCCAGGCGGATCTCTGTGAGTTCGAGGCCAGCCTGGTCTCCAAAGCGAGTTCCAGGAAAGGCGCAAAGCTACACAGAGAAACCCTGTCTCGAAAAAAAAATAAATAAATAAATAAATAAAATAAAAAATAAAAATAGAGCCGGGCAGTGATGGCACACACCTTTAATTCCAGCACTTGGGAGGCAGAGGCAGGCGGTTCTATGAGTTCCAGGCCAGGCTGGGTTACAGAGGGAGTTCCAGAAAAGGCTTCAAAGCTACACAGAGAAACCCTGTCTCAAAAACAAAAACAAAACAAACAAACAAACAAAAAGAACCAAACAAAAAACAACAAAAATAAAAATAATGGATAAACATACATGGGACATTCAAACATGGCTTTTTGAAAAAATGACTTTCACTATAAAAATTATAGGGTGACACATGAGACTTCTGTGAGGGTGAAGCTGCTCCGGAACTTGAGTATAGTGGTGTTTTCATGACTGGTACTTATGAAAATTTACAGAACCATATAGCAAGAGGGTAAAACCTAATGTCAATTTAAAAATTAAGATTGAAAAACAAACAAACAGAAAAAGGAGCTCCATAGTCCATCAGTGCTCCTCATTTTGTTCAAGGACAGCCACAGTGCAGCACTACTCTGTGTACCTTTGCAGTGGTAGAGATTTCATCACTGATGGGAGATAGCTTTGAAAATTTTCCTTTTTACTTCCCTGGTAACAGAAAATCTATTGAAGGTTAAAGTTTGCATTAATAAGGGAATGGACAAATTAGTAGCAAGAGCTAGGAAAGACAGATGGGAATTAAGACTAAAATTTAACAGTAGAGAGTTCAGAGCCTCAGGCTCCCAAGCAAGCAACAAAAACAGAACCAAATAAGGAAAAAGTGATTGGCTTAGAAGACTGTAGGTTATACTCCTAGCACCCTGCATGGAAGCTTATCTTGACTTTATTATTCTCAACTTCCTACTGATAGTGCTGTCACGTCACCTGACTTCTTTAGTCCTTAAGGCTTTTTACATAACCTAGGCCAGCATGCATTTGGTTTGATATTGATGATCACACAATATAAAATTAATAGTTCTACCATCGACAGTATAGTACTTATACAACTTTCTTTTGGCCTGCAGATCTATTTTTATCTCTTTGTAAGGCTGTTTGGTTCTCATGGGATATCTGTTTATATTGGTGTCTCCAGAATCTCTACCTTTGTATTATCTGACACCTAGTGGATACCCAAAGAATATTTCCTGAAGAAACAAAAAACCTATTTTGAGCCCAGAAGGGAATGTGAAATGGTTTAGTCCCCAATTTTAAAGGAAATTTACAACTTAGTGAAACATTTTATTGCAAAGCTTAAAAAAAAAAAAAAGCAGAATCTCAGGCTAGCCTCTGAGTTCACTAAATAAGCGAGGAAGACCTTGAACTTCTGATCCTCCTGCCTTTGCCTCCTGAGTGTTGGAATTACAGGTATTCCTGTTTATTGAAGTGGTGGGACCAAATACAGGGCTTTGTGCATACTAGGCAAACACTACCAACTGAGCTACAGCCTCAACATTTGTTTCGTTCACAAATGTAAGTGGACAAGTAAGAGGGAAAGATTATGTAGAATTTGATCACAGAACCGCCTACTTACACAATTAGTTGAGCTTTAATGCTAGAATGTGTAAAGGTAGATCCTTCAATATCCTTTCTATTGCTGGGGCTTTGATAGAAAACCTTATTAGATAATAGGAACATAGATTGGGACTGGGCATGGTGGCACATGCTTTAATTCCAGCACTCAGGAAGCAGAAGCAGGCAGATCTCTGTGAGTAAAAGGCCAGTCAATGGCCGGGCGGTGGTGGCTCACGCCTTTAATCCCAGCACTCGGGAGGCAGAGGCAGGTGGATCTCTGTGAGTTCAAGGCCAGCCTGGACTACCAAGTGAGTTCCAGGAAAGGCGCAAAGCTACACAGAGAAACCCTGTCTTGAAAAACCAAAAAAAAAAAAAAAAAAAAAAAAAAAAAAGGCCAGTCAATGGATGTAGCCATTTGAAGATCAAACCCAGAGCCTTGGACATACAAGCATAGTATCATTATACTATTCCTCCAGACCTCATTAAAATTCTTAAAAATTAGCCAGGTGGTGGTGGTGCACGCCTTTAATCCCAGCACTCAGGGAGGCAGAGGAAGGCGGATCTCTGTGAGTTCAAGGCCTGCCTGGGCTACAGAGTGAGTTCCAGGAAAGGCTCCAAAGCTACACAGAGAAACCCTGTCTCGACCCCCGCCCCCCCCGCCCCCCCCCCCCCCCCCCGCAAAAATATTTAAATTAATTCGGAGCTAGGAAGTTAAGAGAACACGTTACTCTTGCAGAGGACCGGCATTTAGTTCCCAGCACTCACCTGGGGGCTTACAACCATCCAGAACTCCAGTTCTAGAGAATCTAACAACCTCTTATGACCTTTGTTGCCACCAGGATCACAAGGCACTCAGTTTTAGAAATCTGAAAACCAATTAAACTCAGTTCAGGGGCAGAACTCCTTTTCATTCACCCATTCTAGAGGTATTTTGCAGACATATCTTTAGAAGATATATATATATATATATATAGGTTTTTTGAGACAGGGTTTCTCTGTGTAGCTTTGGAGCCTGTCCTGGATCTCAGTCTGTAGCCCAGGCTGGCCCCAACTCACAGAGATCCGCCTGGCTCTGCCTCCGAGTGCTGGGATTAAAGGCGTGCACCATCACCGCCGGCGAAGATATACTTCTTACTGTATTGTTTTTTAGGGTCATGGCATTCAATAGATAATGACATAAACTTCAACAATGCCTATTTAGATTTTTTTTTTTACAATGCTGTGACAAGCCTTTTTTTTTTTTTTAATTATGTATACAGTGTTCTCTGCCGGCAAGAAGAGGGTGGGCAGATCTCATTACAGATGGTCATGAGTCACCATGTGGTTGCTGGGACTTGAACTCAGAACCTTTGGAAGAGCAAGCAGTGCTCTTAACCTCTGAGCCATCTCTCCAGCCCTACCCCCCCATTTAAAATTTTCTTTATGCCTGAGTGTATGTGCACCACAAGCATGCAGATGCTCATGGAGGCAAGAGGGCATCAGATTCCCTGGAACTGTAGTTACAGGCAGTTATGTGGTATTGGATATAGGCACTGGGACTTTTGCAACAGCACGTGCTCTTAACTGATTTGCTGTCTCTCCAATCCCTCACACATCCTACCCCTAAATACACAGGCTGTCCTACTTGTCCTTGTTGCAAGCTAGTTCTGTTATATTGGGAATCAGGGACTGAGTTTCCAATCCAGACCAAAGGATTTCATTATGAAATCAAAAACCTCTAGTACACAATCTTACAAAAATTATAAAATGTGACAAGCCAAATATTACAAAACTAAGCAACATATCAGTTTTGTAATTTAACAACATATGAATTAAACAACTACACCACAGCTGTGTTCATGCCAAACAGAAGAAAAGAGCATATTCAAATACCAACACTATCTAGCTGCTAAATGCAGCTTGCTAATATGTGAACAAGTCATGCTGCAGTGAAAGAGGGGCTAGAAACTTGAACCGTTCTGCTATTGTAATTAATTTGGAGAGGGTATTATACTTCTTTTTCGAGACAGGGTTTCTCTGTGTAGTTTTGGTGCCTGTCCTGGATCTTGCTCTGTACACCAGAGATCCGCCTGGCTCTGGATTAAAGGTGTGTGCCATCACCCGCCCGGCTGGTACTATACATTTTGAAGGTAATTTTTTTTACCTCTATTAGTTTCAGATTAGTAGACTACAATTTCCAGGTCAAGTGATAAAAGCATACATTTCTTCCTAGATATCTTTAAAAAAAAAGTCTACATAGCTCTGGCTGTCTTGGGATTCTCTATGTAGACCAACCTGGCCTTGAACTCAGAGATCCACCCACTGCTGCCTCCCAGATGCACCACCACCACACCTGGCTCCTAATTATTTTTAGAACAGGGTATGGTAGCCTGTAATCCCAGTTCCTACAAGGCTGAAACAAGAGGATTCTAAATTATAGGGTAATCTGGAAAACTTTTGAGTCCTGTCTCAAAAGACTGGGTGGGAGCAAGCTCAGGGGGAAAAAAAAAAAAGAAAGTAGGATCACATGGACTCAATGAATGAACTAAAGTTAAAAAAAAAAAAGTAGCTCTCTAGAAGCTGGAGAGATGGCCCAGTGGTTAAGAATGAACACGGTAGCCGGGCAGTGGTGGTGCATGCCTTTAGTCCCAGCACTAGGGAGGCAGAGGCAGGTGGATCTCTGTGAGTTCGAGGCCAGCCTGGGCTACAGAGTGAGTTCCAGGACAGGCTCCAAAGCTACACAGAGAAACCCTGTCTCGAAAAAACAAAACAACAAAGAACGCTGCTCTAGCAGTGGGCAGGAGTTTGGGTTCCAGCATGCAAGTTGGGTACCTCATAGTACCTTAATTTCCAGGGAGAGCTTTGGCCTCCTCCAACATCAGCACTTATATACACTTATTCTCCAGCCTCCATACACATAAAAAGTAAACTCTCATTTTAAAAAAAAATTACTAGAATTCAGGGGGCAAAGAGATTGGATTGCCAAGTTTGAGGCCAACCTTGGCTACAATGTAAAACTGTGTCTCAGTCTAGTTATTTTGAGATTGTGACATATCCAATGTATTTACTGTACCATATGACCCAAGCAGACAACTGTTCTGAAAGGGAAATAATCGGTCACAAGTCCTTTCTTGTATGTGCTTAGGATCAGTAACAATGCAGCATTCAAGTTCTTGGAGTGAGCCACCATGTGGTTGTCGGGAATTGAACTCGAGCAGCCAGTGCTCTTAACCTTTGAGCCATCTCTCCAGCCCAAGTTCCTGAAGTTTAGAGTAACAGTGTCCATGTGTGCACTATAATGTGCCCACTGACCTCAGCATTGGGCATTATAGAGATAACTGTTTCTGTTACTAAGGACCACTCACAGTAAGTTGTATCAGTACTGACAGGGTCAGGCTTTACTGTCAGGTACTCACTTTTTTGTTTTTGAGACAGCATTTCTCTGTGTAACAGCCCTGGCTGTCCTGGAACTAGCTCTGTAGACCAGGCTGGTCTCAAGCTTACTGAGATCTGCTTGCCTCTGCCTCCCAAGTGCTGGGATTAAAGGCGTGCATGACCATTGCCTAGCTTGGTACTTATTTTTAATTGTTAAATGAAATTGTTTCTTCTTCAATCGATAATTAGACACTGGTCTAAGGCTACCTTTGTGGATCAGAGGGGCTTGGGAATCATTCTTCACCTTTATTATTTTCTTTGTCCAAAGAATGTTTCTGCCTAAACTGCTTTTCCTTCAGGACAAGCATATGAAAACATGTTTGTGTGTGGAGGGATTAAGAACTGTTGGATTGTGAGGTATAAGCACAAGCTCCAAAAATTTCGGAACTATTTTTCTTGGAGTAGAGTTGAAGGATGATTACACTGTGAAGGCAAAATAGAGAAAATTACTGCAGTATAAATACTTATATAAAGTCTTTAAAATGTATGCAGTTGTAAGCTAGGAATGGTGGCACATACCTTTAATTGCAGCAACCAGGATTTATTTTCGGAGACACCGACTTGTTATCTATAAGTTAGCTCTAAACCCCCAACTTCCCAAGTCCTGCTGTTTATGAAACCATGCAGATGGTATGCCTTTTGTCACCAGGTCTGTTTGACAATTGTTGCTGCACCTCTTTGGGTTATATGCAGAGTGGTAATACTTAAGAATGCAATTTTCTTTTTGCGGCCTCCTGATTGAGTAGCCATTCCTATGCAGTGGACTTCAGGTTGAACCAATCAGTTGTATTCTCACCTCCTCTCCTTGTTAACAGATACTGCCAAGCAGACTTGTCTCTTTAATTGTTAGTGTATAATATATATGTGCGCGAATTCAGGTTGGCAGACACAAGGTCAGAGGACAACTTTCATGAGGTCCTTGTACAGTGGGTTCTGGGGTTCAAACTCAGGTTTACCTGCTCAGTTACCTGATGGCCTGGATTTGAGCTTACACTTCAAGTACTGAAAAATGATAGCTAAATATATGTCAGTATTTGTTTTCTGTTGAGAATGTAACCTTAGGATACTAAGATATTCTTACATTAGAAACAACTCCGAGCTTATTTACTGAGCAGAGTATTGCCATGCATTGTCTCCATGATGCTCCTTGAATTGAATATTCTCTTAAAATTGCTCTTCTTTTTCCGTGTGTTTTTTGGCAAGCTTGTAGTATGCATGTACCAGGTCCACTAGATACAGCCACGCCCACATTTTCCAGACACCTGTATTGGATCTGTAAGAAATGAATGGATGAGTTTAATATCAAGGTTTCATCATGAACGATTCCTTAAATTCATGCATTTAATTTTTTTTTGTCCGTGCGTTATTTATGCCTGGTGCCCAGAGTCCAAAAGAATCAGATCCCCTTAACAAGACTTAGAGCCCACAGTGAGTCACCATGTGGGTGCCGGGAATTTAATCTGGGTTCTATGGAAGAGCAACCGTTGCTTTTTACTACTGAGTCAACTCTTCAGCCTCTTAAGTTAATTTTATAAGCATTTTGAATTATTTGGGATCAAGGGCAAATTTTCAGTGCTGAGACTTTATTTTTGAGATAAGGCTTATATAGCTCAGGCTGGTGTCTGTCTTACTACCCTAACCTCTGAATGCAAGGTACCACCATATTTGGCTTAATTGGCCTTGGATACAGTAATGAGAATAGTTACTAGAATTAAGTTGTTTTATTTACATGTATGAAATCAATGAATATAAGGTATGCTATTAAAAATCTTAACAAAGGTTTTAAATCAGGGGCTTTTGGACAGTGACTCAAAACTTGTTATAAGTTACTACTTTCAGTGAATTTATTTAAAATCTGGTAGAAGAGGAAAGAATATGGTCAAAATGCACTGAATTCTCAAATAAATAAATACATTACTAAATATATAGACTTCACATATAGTTTTTCTGGTAAATTTCAGTGCATGGCTTTTAATCTGCATTTTGTTTTTGGTTTTTCCTTTTGAGGGTTTCTCTGCTAACAGTCCTGGCTCTCCTGGAATTCAACTTTATAGATTAGGCTGGCCTCCAATTATCTGCCTGCTTCTATCTCCCCCTGCTGGGATTAAAGGCGCATATTCGAGTACACCTTGCTTATTTGCACTTTTTTTTTTTTTTGGTTCTTCAAGACAGGGTTTCTCTGTGTAGCTTTGTGCCTTTCCCGGAACTCACTCTGTAGCCCAGGCTGGCCTCGAGATCTGCCTGGCTCTGCCTCCCTAGTGCTGGAATTAAAGGCATGCACCACCACCACCACCACCACCACCACCACCACCACCGGGCTATTTGCACTTTTTATTATTGGGAAACAATGTAAACAAATTACAGTATTAGCAGTAATCATGACTATCCCAATTGAAGTGATATTTCCTTTTAATACTGCTTCAGGTAGCTTGAAATGTCTGCTGGACACTGGCTGAGGCATTGCTAGGTATCATGGAGCTAATAAAACATGTTATTTCTCTGTAAAGATTAAATTTTTAGTTATTTGATTACGTTCTTCCTAATTCAAATGCACTGTACTTTATGCACTTAAACAGTCTTGATTTTGAAGAGCTCCATAGACTGCAGCAGACTGAATTAGAAGTTAGGCCTACAATCAAAATTTTCAAAGTTCAACTCTGTCTTGCGATATTCAGTCAGTGACTCAAAAAGTAGAAAGAGTGCTATCCATATAGCTTAGTGGTAGTACTTGTTTGCACACACAAAGCCATAGTGCCAATACAAGTGTCTGGGAGGGAAAGGGAAAAACTCAAGTGAATTAGGACCACTCATATTGAGAAGTCTGACTTTGATATCAAATTATTACATTGGTGTTTTTTGTTTTTTTGTTTTTTTTTTTTTTTTGGTTTTTCGAGACAGGGTTTCTCTGTGTAGCTTTGCGCCTTTCCTGGAACTCACTTGGTAGTCCAGGCTGGCCTCGAACTCACAGAGATCCGCCTGGCTCTGCCTCCCGAGTGCTGGGATTAAAGGCGTGCGCCACCACCGCCCGGCTGTTTTTTGTTTTTTGAGACAGGATCTCATCATGAAGCCCCATTTGCTAGGCTTGAACTCAGGGGGATATGACTGCCTCTGCCTCCCTATTACTGGACTTAGTATTGTGCTAAGTACATTTTTAAAGGACTGATTCAAACCTCATTCCTCTAGATAGCCATATAGTCAGTACAGAAATGAAGAGTCTAGACACTAACATCAGGCCCCCCCCCCTCCCCCAGCACTTTGGAGTTCCTATATACAGCCATTCTTTAAGCAGGCCATCCCACCTGCACAACTTTAGCTATCTGCACATCATTTCCCCAAATGGGTATACTTACATTACTTAGATGCTCTCCTTATTTCAATCTTCCATGGAAACTTTTGGTTAAGTGTAAATTGTCTATTATGAAGTACTGATTGCAGTCAAAACCAAAGGAACATGGATTTATAACTTAAGGTACAGAAAATCTACCTTAATGCTTAAAAAGTATTAAGTAAATTTTAGCATTTAGTAATTCCTAGTGCAAAAGTTATTTTTGCCTCAGCTCATGTCCTAGGCACTACACAATACTGCCCTTTGAATATTAAGCATTTTCATATATTTCCTTAATTCTTTGGAAAACTCAATGAAGTAGGCATATAATTTTTGTATGAGTAAAAGTCAGAATGAATAAGCCAACGTCGTATGGAACTGAGACTCATCTTTCTATTGCTAACACCTACTAAATGACAAAACTAACTTTCTCCTGATAGATGACTATAGGTATATACTTACCCACCATGATGTACAGTAGTAGAAATGGTTTGACAAGCTTTAGTTTGACTTCAAAGAGCATACACATTTTAATATGTCCAGTGTTACCAGAAGAATTATTTCCCACCTGTCAAATACTTTTTAAGCCAATTCTAACAGAGCTCTAAAGTATCCTCTAAAAATTTACTTCCCTCAACTATGATAGTCACCAGGGGCTTATTTCTGTGCCAGGCTTGGTGGTGCATGCCTTTAGCCCCAGAACAAGGGAGGTAGAGGCAAGAGGATCTCTGAGTCTAAGGCCAGACTGATCTACATAGTGAGTTCCAGGACAGTCAAGGATGTAGAAAGACCCTGTCTCAAAACAAAAGAACTTATTTCTACTTAGGTTATTTGAAATTTATCCTACACCACTGCACAGATATTAGTTACCACAATTAGCTTAGGAGAAAAAATGGTGCCAAGATGGATCTCTGTGAGTTTGAGGCTAGCCTGGTTTATATAGTTCCAGGACAGCCCACAGCTACAGAGATTCTGTTTCTGAAAAATGAAAGGGGTGATGGTGGGTGCCAAGTGGCTCTTTGAATCTTGGGTGTCCAGATTCAAAGCAAGTTACATTTATTAATGTGTCTCACTCCCAGTGGCTGAAGTATTAGATTGGTGGATTCAGTCTTATAATTGCCAGGAACAGAAAGTAGTCTGAATATAAAATCCTAGACAAGCTCTGCAACTTTTTGTTGTTGTTCAAAATGTATTAATTAACAGCCCAGTAATTTAACCTGCAGCCATATTGTCTTTCCTTAGAAATATCCCAGGTTATACCATACCAGAATATATACATCTCATGAGATCAAATGGACCTACATTTAAACATACTGGATGAACTATAGTGCCAGGACATTGTAATGAATAACTACCTCTGATGCTTTTAAGTATTTCATTATATGTAACTCTTAGTGGTTTTTGTTTTTTTCATTTGTATTTATCCTTCCAGTTAAATCTCTAGGAAAAAACAGAAACAAAAAAAACCTGCTAAGCAATGGGATAAGAATGACTTCAGGCCAGCCGGGCGGTGGTGGCGCACGCCTTTAATCCCAGCACTCGGGAGGCAGAGCCAGGCGGATCTCTGTGAGTTCGAGGCCAGCCTGGTCTCCAAAGCGAGTTCCAGGAAAGGCGCAAAGCTACACAGAGAAACCCTGTCTCGAAAAACCAAAAAAAAAAAAAAAAAAAAAAAAAAAAAAAAAAAAAAAAAAGAAAGAATGACTTCAGGCAATGTAAAGTTTAATTCCTGTTAGAAATGAATTTAAGACATTTGCAGAGGCTTATGCTGCCTGTCAGCTGCTTTTCTCCTTTTGCCTCTTTCCTGTTCACACAATCACACACTACCCACATAAGTAAACTAATAAATTCAATCATTATGGATTTCTCCTGTCAGTGACATTCATAAAGGTAGCTGGGCAGAGACCAGCCCCATTCACTGTACATTTAATACTTTCTCCAATAGCGGTTCAGGATCCCAGTTGGGTTTGGTGGGCATTAATGATATACCCATGAAGAGCAAATACCACCCTTTAGAATGAAATTACTCAATAGTAAGGTTCATGGTCACTGTTTATGTCTTTTTCTTTTCTTTTCTTTTTTTTTTGAGTAGCATCAAAAAATGCACAAAATACAAGTTTGGTTATATAATCATTCAAGACCTGAAAATGGCAATTATGAAAATAAAAAGAATTCAACAAAATGTTTTCTGTGGTTTGACAGGGATTTACCATGTAACTCACAATGGCTTGGAATTCCCTAGTCAGTACAGGCTGGGCTCCAAGTCAGTTTCCCCGTTTCTACCTCAAGGGTCCTGTAGGTTAGTGCCATCAGGCCCCATGACCAAACCATTAAGCATTATGCAGGAAAATGATTGCAAAAGTATTTCAGAGATTGTCTCCTTTGTCTTCTTAGCTGGTTTTCTCAGCTGAGTGGGAGCTCAATGTCCTCAGATTCCTTTAGGAAGTAAGTGACCACTTTGCAATGAATTGGGATGGGACTTTATCTTCTAAGAGAGGGATTAAATAAGTTGTGAGATAGAGAAGGTTCAGTGGCACTTGCTACTTTTGCAGATCAGGTTCAGTTCCCATCACTCACATGGTGGCTCAGAACCATCTATTCTCTAGTTCCAAGGGGAATATGATGCCTTCTTCTGACCTCTATGGGCAGCAAGCACATACATGAAAGCAAAACATCCATACATATAAACCTTTAAAAATAAACAGGTTGTTGCTTCTAATATCTTTAACGAAACCCTTTTAATTCTGCCAGTCTCAACCATTATTTATTTTTTTCATATTCAAACCTCTTATCTTTATTTGGCACCCACTTTTCTCTATTCCATGATTCATTCCTTAAACCACGAAATCTGGTAACTTTTTACTATATTGTTAATTCAGTTTATATGAAAAATAACAAAATTTAGTAAGCCTTCACTGAAAAACAATGCCAGCTGGGAACCATCTCAAAAGCAGCAAGAAATAGGAAAAAAAGAGCAGAATTTTAGAAAGGCACACAAACATGAACACTGAAAATGGAATAGCCTCATTGGACTAAAATTAATACCCAGTATAATCATACAGAAAAAGCAATCACTGTAAACAGTGCATCACCCTCAATGACTTCTCAACTCTGACAGTGTTATATCATATAATTGTCACTTACCTATTCCACAATAGTGTTTCCAGTAAAACCCACATTATTACATACAAGGAACATGCTGTTTACTTGCAGTATTGCAACTATAATTGAAGCACTGTATGTCAACTTTACTCTTAATAATAAGCTTTATATATTACCTCTTTAGAGAAAGACCCAAATCTTTCCACAATTATTTCCTCATACTTACAAGTGCATGGTTTTGTACAGTTTTCTTGTATAAATGTGTTGATGGCTGGAACTCTGAGCAAACTAAAACTCATTGGACTATACCCTTTAAATAAATAGGTGAACTGCATATGTGAATTTCATTTCAATAAAGCTGTTTATAAAAAAAGATACAACTCAAGAGGATTACTCTTTACAGCAAGTTCCCGCAGATAGCATCTCAAAAGCCTATGAATACATACCTACTTACATAATTGGTTACAGTTGAGCAACTATGCATACCTAAATTTCCTGAAATGGTTATGTTCACCAACACACAGTTTATCAGCATTTATCTTCTTGCAAAGACATGTTCTACATGTCCCTTTAATTGTCCAAACCTGTTAAAATCTGAGAAATGAGATGGTAAGATAGAAAAAAGATGGTAGATGCTTTTCTAGGTAAAATAATTTGAAGTCATTTAGACTTGTATTTATTTAAGTTTAGAGGCAAAGTTTCTCTGTGTAGCCCTGGCCATCCTGGAATTTATTCTGTAGACCAGGCTGGCCTTGAGCTCAGAGATCCACCTGCCTCTGTCGCTCCTGTAGTGGGATTAAGGTGTGCACCACTACTGCCTAGCTTGACTTTAAATTTGACCCTGAGACATTTGCTGCATTTACCTTAAGCCAGATAGTAAATCCAGAAGCAAAATCTATGTCAAACTGTTACAAATACCACACCTATGGTACTAACGTGAGACTTTCGTTTTCTAACTATTGTCAATTCAAAGTAAGAATGTCTAAAATATGAGAAATAAGTTTTATTATCTGAAATGAATTAAAAGATTGTTACAAACAAACAAACAAACAAAAAAACAAACCCACAGTAGCTAAATCCAAATGGTGTGTCCATCTGTGTCCACTTAGGGAAATGTACACTATGGCAAACATTTTCCTTAATCAAAGAGAAGGTCTGAAAATACATTTTTTTTCCCCTGGTAAAATGTTTTCCTTTTCTTGCCTTATGTTTCTAAAGAACATGGAAATTTTTTTTTTCCTATTAAAGACTTAACTTGTACAGTCTTTCTAAAATACACCGATTATTTTTTACCACACATTTATGGCTGAATATCCATTATATTTAAGGCTAAAACACTTCAAAGCACTCAATCACATGACAAATTATAGAATCCATTATATTATATTGGTCCCATTTTTCACACTATTTCCAAACAATCTGCTATTTTTCTTTCAATAAATCAGTCTTCCACAGTAACTCAAACTAAGATTATTGCTCATATAAATGTTTTATAAACTAAAGATTCATTAGTCTAAACCCTACAGTTAAATCTAAGGGCAGAAAGGAAATGGTAAACACTTTGTTTCCTTTGTAGTACTTACCATCATTCCAGGCAGAAGAACAGCAATATTTCCGAGGCTTTTACATGGTTGAATTTATGCAAGAATGGCTTTTGCCACTCTCCTGGCTTCTTCTCACAACATAAGATGAATCTTGGAAAACTTTTTTTAACCGCCATCATCTGCATACACCTTTGACTGTTCCTACTGTGTTTTGGCAATTTAAAAACCAATGTGCTTACTTTTTTGAAAGGAAGATATATTTATCAGTTGAATTTTATTAAGTTCTAACAGAGGCATAGTGTGTATTTTCACTGATGCAAACAAACCAATGCTGGGGATCCAACCAGAGCCTTGAGTATGCTAGGTGACTCCTCATCACTGAGCTACATCTCCTGCACAAAACTCAGTCTTCAGATTTAAATGCAAAAGAGGAGAATAAACAACACAAGTTATGCTTATCAGCATTTTTAACTCTTCAAAGACCCTAGGTAGGAAGTAAAATTTCCCATCTTTCCATAGTGAACTTCAGAATCTGAAAAACAAACACACAGTACTGCTTTAGTTATGCAACTGAGGAAAACAGATAATTTGAGATGATCAAAAAAAAGGACTCAAAAGTTCTTGAAGTAATCATACATTTGAAATATGCCAAAGAAGACAATGCACTTTAATTGGTTGGGTACCAAAGTGGGTAACGGAAGGGGTTGGTTAATGCATTAACTAAGGTTATCTGCATTAAGATGTCACAACGGAATAATCGTTTTGCATACTTTTGTTAATATATGCTAACAAAGGAAGAAAAGGTAAGTTGGTGATGCATGGTTACCAACTTTGAGTATCCTAAGTATTTTAGCATAGTTCATTCAGCATGAGTCCTGAGTAAGATTGCTCACTTGCAGTCCCTTTTCAATGTCTTTTACTTACTGGTGGGTAAGAAAGATTAGGTGCTAACTACTTTTGGTAGCACCTTGTCTTTCTTATTTTCGGGACCAAAGATACAACCCTTCGCGCTCAGTTATCTACTAATGATTATTCTTTGAGGCCCTTTGCAAATCATTACGGGGGGAGGGGGGGAGAGAGAGGGGGAGGAGGGGAGGGAAGGAGGGGGAGAGAGGGAGGGAGGGGGAGAGAGTACGAGCGCGCGCGCGCGAGGGGGGGTCAGACACTTGAGGAAGAGGGCATGAGGGTTAGAGAAAAAAATGGCAACACGACAAAAAAATTAACCTAGGTTTAGCCCCACTCATCGGGTGCAAGCGGGCTTCTTGTCCAACCTGGCGCGAGGCCCGCCGTCCCCGGCCCCCAGAACACAACAAAGACACCTCCTGCCCAGAATGTCCCGCTAGGAACAATCTAAGGTTTCCTTCGCGCCCAGAAGTGAAGCGACTTCCTGGGTCCCCCGCTAAAAAGCCGAGGGAAAGGCGTGAGGCCCTGTGCAAGCCCGGCGGGTTGAAGCTCACGCCGACTCGCGAGGCCATCGCCGGTCCCACGGCCCTGCCCACCCCCAGTGTAGTCTCCGTCCAGTCCCAGCCAGTGCTCGAGGTTATCAACCCCTACATCCTCTGCCTCACCATTCTCACCACGCCACTTCTCAGCTCCACGAGCGCCGAAGCCTCGGCCCGCAGCGGCTCCTGAGCTTCAACATGGCGGCCGGTCCGGTCTCTCTCTGGGCACTCCGACCGGAGCATCCTGGGCATTGTAGTTCTAGCCGTAGCCTCTGCGTCCCTCACGGACTTTAGAGGACTACAGATCCCAGAATGCACAGCTCTGGAGCATGGCTATTGGGGCCGCTCGGACAGAGGGATGATGTCATTGCAAAACCCCACTGCATTCATTGTGCTACGGTCTCTCCACCCCCCAACCCCCCTGCTGCTGCTGCTGGGCTCGCTATTGCTGCTCGCTCCAGCTGAGCCCTGAGTAGCAGCAGGACCAGGGCAGAGACTGACTCTAGTCCTTGGACTTAGGACACCGCAGCACCTTCCCTTACGTGCGTGATTCATTCGCATATCATTTCTGTTTATGCCTGGGGTGGGGAGAAAAATCCCAAACCAGGTGAGTTGAAGTGATTTATTCAAATCGTTCTCCCAAGTTATTCCTCCCGCTTAGTGCTCAAGGCTTTCTTTTGGAAGATGGGGCCGGGAATGGGGGTATGGATTCGGGAGGTTCTCACTGGCGCTGCTAAGAGCTAAACCGCTCTGTGCAATTTGGGTCACTGCAAAGAACAACTCCAGCAACCTGCCCCCGCCAGAGGACTGGTGCCTGCCAATTTCCTCGCCTCAACTCCTTTTAACCTTTTTGAGGCTGGGAGAGGGGGCTGGGCTGGCGAGGATGTTGGGAAGTGCACTTGGAAAACAGGAGGAGGGCAAAGGTGGCGGACTGCAGTCCTGTCATTCTCCGGCCCCAGTGCTGAGGTTTGAGTGGGAAAGGGTGATGTGTGGGGAGAAATGGAGACAGTGATTTAAGGTGGTCGTGCTTCTTTGGAACATTTGTGTCTCTTGAACTAACACACACTATTTTTTAAGATGAGCATGCTTCTCTTGAGTCGCTTAAGTTTGGTAGGGATTTATTTTATGTTTGCATGTTTGTGTCGTTTGTCTCGCTTTTTTTCTGCTGGACTTGAGGTGACAGTGTCCTTTAATGGTGCATTCCGTGCCAGTCAGAAATATTTCACGTGTATAGAGGTTTTCTCAGGCTGCTAGAAGCAGCATTTTTGTTAAGCGGCTTTTTCCCCCTCGTTTTTTTTGACTGCGGGATTCAGGATTGTTTGAAAGTGGAGCTGATAGATCTGTGCTTGTGTGAGTGTTTTAAATCACATCGCAATAGGCTCTTGCCACTGACAATGGTACTGTGAGGAGCTGCCGTTTCCCGAGGCTCAGTCTCCACTCACACTTAACGGTTTGTAGACGGAATCGATTAGGAAACCTGGGTACTTTTTTTTTTTTTTAACACTTTAGAGAAAAGAAAAGTTAGACGTGCTGCCACCCTTTACTGTCCATTACTGAAAGGTATCCAAGAACAGTGAGCCTGACCAGGGAAACCAGGGAGCATGCTAGTGTGCTTTTTGTTTGAATTTTGTTTTTCAGTGAACTGACACATTTAGTAAGGCAGGGCAACATTCTGGCTTGTATGATGTTGGCTCTCCTCTTTTAAGAGTTACGGGGATGAACACTGCAATAAATATGTTCCTTTGAGATAAACAGCTGGCTGATTCCAGAACAGATGGGGCCAGTCTTAGCTGAGAGATATACAACCTTGGAAATGAATGGACTTAGGGTCAACCACACCCCCTTTAGGAATGTCAAAAGAAGGAGAAATGCCAGAGTATTTGCTTAACTCTAAAATGCTAAAGCTTTTCACAGCGGAGTCAGGCTTTTTGGGGGGGGCGGAGGGGGGCGTCATTACTGTCCGTTTTACCTTCTGTGAACCAGTTTTATTCAGTTTTAATTTAGATGCTCAGGTCTCCAAAGTTGCAGCTGGGTGATACTTTGTTAAATGCTGTGTGTTACTGAAAGCAAAGGACAGTCCATTGTATGGGTTTTGTAAGTAGAGTGATTTATTGGCATGCAAGGAGCAGCTTGGATTTGGGAGAAGATCAACAGTCTGTTGCCTACATCTTTGTGGTGACACTCTGCCCTTCTCTTCTATGCCTTTCTTTCTCTGCCCACCCCGTTCCCACCTCTCCAAATTCCATTTCTTTCCTTGTCTATTTGCAATAAATGCTAGTTTTTCTTCTCTGTTTTAGGATCTCCCCTGTGTCAGGAGAGTATCACATCTCTTTTTCTAAGTCTCTTTCCAACCCCCCACACCTTCACCTCACCCCCAAGGAACCCTGGGGTTGGAGGATGTAGGCTGTGTGTGTGAATTTTTATTCAGAGTCCTCTTTGAAGAGGCTCTGACATTTCTTTTTCTTGGAGTCTGTGCTTGGAAGGATGACAGCGATGAGCCTGATCCAGGGCTGGGGTTGTGGTTTTCCTGACAGACGTAACCTGGGCCCAGGAGCATATGAACAATGAAATGCAGCCGTGGAGCTCTTGTACCTTTATTTTCCATGACACCTGCTAAGAAGTGCCCAGGGTTTAACAATTTGTTTTAGTACTTTACACAGAGAATTCATAAATGATTCCTGAAAGAAGTAGTCCTCAGTAGCTTCTGATTAATTTAGTGTTTTTATTTCTTCTCTGTATTCCAGTGAGTGGTGGGGAAAGAGTCTATCCCTTGGCATGATGCTAGTAACAGTGCGAGTGGCAAAGCGGCATTTGTGTTTCTGAAGGTAGTTGGAGTTCCTGCCATTTTGTCTTCTTTGTGGCGGAGAGAAGTTTGTTGTTTTATGCTGCTCTCCCCGGGAGGCTGGGTGTGGTGGCAGTTGTGTCTCTTTACTTAACCGTAGTGTTTCTTCAGGCATGCAAAGTCCGATGGCCATTTGAAGTCAGCCTATGGATGGGACTTCTTTTGTACCACCGTGCATTACTAAATCCCTTCTCCTGCAATGCTCCCTTACTCACTGGGGGGTTTTAGGTGACATAGGGAGGAGAGATGAGATGGATGGAAGATTCCATTTGCCTCTATCCCTGCTGTCCTGTCACTTTCAAGAGCTGCACATGTCTCTCTGCCTCAGTTTGTAGATCTGCAAAGGGACACTAATCTTTGCTTCTTGGTTTGCTTGACCTGGTATTAAAACCCTCCATGATAAAGCCCGAAACTTATTCTGACAGCAAAGATCAAATGAGCAGGTATTGTGTGATAAGTGCTGTGGTACATCAATGAAGAGAAGTGTTTTCCCTGCATTGAACTATTCCAAGTATGATGTACTGTGCTTCCTGGTAAATGAGTTGAAGATGGGATGGAGTAACCAATATGACTTTCTTCCCTTTTCTCGAATAATCAGGGAACGTTTCCTGTAGGAAGTGGCACTTGAAGGGACTTGAGTGATCAGGAAGTAATTTGGGGTAGCAATGGGAGATGCTTAGAGTAGAGCAAATAGGGTTTTTGGCAGAAGGAACTGCACATTCATCAAACAAAGAGAAGAGTGGTGAGTAGCAGGTCACTTCTGAAGTCTTGGTGATGGATGATGATGTTTGACTCTTGGTGGAGACTGGAGGTAGAGACTGGAGAGACACCATGTTTGAAAATTATAATTGCATAAATGTGTTGATTGATTAGATGTGAGAATAGGAAGAAAAAGTAGAATATGCCTTGCATTTTTCCTTTTTAAGCAATCCAGATGACTTTTACAGAGAAAGAGACAGCTGATTGGGGGGTGTTGGTTCAGGAAGTGGGGGAATTAATGTATAATATTGGGAATGGCGTATGCATTTTCAAGGTTTAGCTTTCTCACTATAAAATGGGTTTACCACACTACAGTATACTGATGTTCAGATGTGTGTGCACCATGCTAGGAATCCATCATCAAGTGAGATAGTGTTTGCTTTCAAGAAATTTCTCTGAAGAAGAAAAGACACATGAACTTATGGAGGGGTGTGGAACATGAACTTATGGAAGGGTGTGGAGCGATGTGGAAGGGTGTGGAGCGATGCTGGGACAGCACAGCCCCGCAGGAGGCATTCGTTCTTGTGGGGTGGGAGATTAACAATGTGGCCTGCAGCATTTGGCTCTAGGTTCCTGGGTCTTGCGCAAATTAGGGGCTCTGTGTTTTTTTTTTCCCCCCCAAGACAGGGTTTCTCTGTGTAGCTTTTGGAGCCTATCCTGGAATGTTCTGTAGACCAGACTGGCCTTGAACTCACAGAGATCCTCCTGCCTCTGCCTCCCAAGTACTAGGATTAAAGGCATGCGCCACCACCGCCGACTGCTCTGTGTATTTGTTAATTGGATGGACCAAACTAGGTCTCTAAGGATGCTTTCTAAATAAAGAAAAATTTCAATGTATTGAAAGATACCATTAATAATCATGAAATGTCAAATGTAAATGCTATTAGCAGATCATTTTCTGAGATCTATAGCCTTTGAGATGTTTTGTGGGTAAATTTTTAGGGAAATTCAGAAGTATTTCAGTTCTGGTTTCTTTTAGGGCTCAACTTCCTAAATTCAAGTTAGTTTCTCAAAAATCATTCTAATGGCCATAATATCCCCTAAATCAATGGACTTTTTGAATTTTATGGATAAGCAAAGTTGTACATACACAAAATAAATACAATTGAGTGAACTATTGACAATATTTTTCTGTAGTAAAGATATATTTAACTGCATGAAAAATTCTGTAATGTATCTTCCCCCTTTATTTTATTGCAGAGGAAGGGGGAAAAGACAAATAAAACATCACAATGTTATAATTACTTAGGAAGTAATTTCTGTATTTTCTTGGCTGTGGTAGAAATATGGCCAGTCTCCAAATGAACATTTCCAAGTGAAGAGGAATTTTATGTGATCCACAGATAACTTATTTTCAGGTTCCTTCCCATGGGAATCTAACCTTGAAAATTAGAGGCTTCCTCAAGATTATTCTTAAAGAAAGATTCTTGGGATTTTTTTTTTTCAGTGGTGGGGACCAAACCTAAAACATAAGGGTCCCTTGAAAGTCATCAGGAAGACAGGACCCATGAAATCACACGTTAATGTGTGTGTTCACATGCTAGAGTTTATTTGTGGATCTCTGTATTTTCTCTTATCAGTATGTGCGTGCTCTTTGAACCTGTTTCATAGTAAGATTGTTGTGAGGGTTAAATGATAATATTTTAAGATTTATTTTATGTGTATAAATGTGTG